CTTTGCTATTTTTCAATTCTAAGAGTTAGTTGATAAGCAAGTATATTTAAGTTTTAGAATTTGAGATTAGTACATCACAAAATTATTTTTTTAAATATATTAAATTAATAAAATTATTAAAAAATTAAAAAAATTAATTTCAAAATGCACATAAGTTAACTCATAAAAGAGACTATCAAATCATAAATATTTTTGAATCATGAGTTAAAAAAAAAAAAAGCTATTGTTGAATCACGAGTTCATCTCAGCGGAACTTTCAAGCACGTGTATGAAAGTTAGCTCGGAGAGTAAAATCAAAAGAACAGCCATGACTACTGGAAAGAAGGGCCGGTGATCAATGTTATTAAAAGGGTTTTTGTGACGTCACGGAGCAAGTTAATGTAATTAATTCATTTTTTAGTTATTAAGTCATATATAAAATTTAAAAAATTAATATTAATTTTAACATTAATATTATATATATTATTTTAATTAATTAATTACCGAAATTAAAATTAATTTTTATTTTTATGTAATTGAATAACTACAAAATATATTAATTATACTTTTAAAATACGAATTTAAAAAACTATTTTTGAAAGTTCTCCACTTTAATTATTAATTCTCCGAATGTAGCATCATGAACCCAACAAATTTACCCGTTAGTGTCCAATTTGTCATAAAATTATACAGAATCGGCTGGTCCCCAGTATAGGAACATGCAACCAAACCCATTTCTAAGTTTATAAAATTTAGTGAAGATATATGGTGATAAAAAACATATACATAGAGGAATATATATGAGATGCCCGCTGGTCTCCTATTGCACATTATATATAAATAAAACCAACATACAAACCAATTGAAGTACCAGGAATAGCAGAGCATACAAAAGCCTCCTTAGAGTCTTATATATTCCTCTCTTTCCGTACACATATGGGTAGGCGTCCTTGCTGCTCCAAGGAAGGGTTGAACAGAGGAGCATGGACCTCGATGGAAGATAAAATACTGACAGAATATATCAGAGCCCATGGTGATGGACAATGGAGAGATCTTCCCACAAGAGCAGGTGATAAGAATGCGTTTTTTTTTTTTTTTTTGGGTTAACAGGAAGTTCAGATTGAAACATTTAATCCTCAATCCTGGCTGCTCTACTACGCCGAATTAGAATGCATAATAATACTCTTCTGAATTATTCTATATGTATATTTTCAAGAACTTGTAATATTTGGATTAAACTTGCAGGCCTTAAAAGATGTGGGAAGAGTTGCCGGTTAAGGTGGTTGAATTATCTTAGGCCGGATATTAAGAGAGGGAACATAACTCATGACGAAGAGGAACTCATTATCAGACTTCACAGGCTCCTGGGAAACAGGTGAATATGTTTTCCTTGCATTTTTAATCCTGAAATAGGTGGGTTCATGAACCTTAATGTATTGCTTTAATTTAATTGCAGGTGGTCTTTAATTGCAGGGAGGCTTCCAGGGCGAACAGATAATGAAATCAAGAACTACTGGAACACCAAAATCAGCAGAAAGATGCAGTTGGCTGCCATCAATATCCGTGGCCAAAACCACCGCTCAACAACTTGTAAGTCATTAAACCAATCCCAAAAGCAGCCTAATCCCACAGTAAAACCATCATCATTGGATTTTTCTAAAAATTCAACTGTCATCCATACAAAGGCCGGAAGGTGCACTAAGGTTGTCATTACTAACCCACAAAGGTCTGAACCTCATAACACCGATCATCATCATCAGATTAATTCATCAGAATTTGTTTCGAAGGAGAATGAACGGTTGGATTTAATCATGGATGATCTTGAGGTCAATGAAAGCTTCTTATTATCAGATTTGCTTGACATCGAATTTGGAATAGTACCACAGCAGCTAAATAACGGGGCAGCGGGGCATAGGGACGCTAGTACGCCAGGTTCCAACAGTCATTCCTTCTTGTTTCCCGACGACATGATGCACGAGTCCTCGGATTTCTCATCCATGGCTTTTTTAGTTGAGGGTGAATCGAATTGGCTTCAAAATTGATCAATGATCGATGGATGCGTATCTTTCTCTTGTGGGTTGGTTTTCGTTTAGGTGCTGCCTCTGTGCTGTAGAATTGTACTGCTTAGTTTCGTGGGCGGAGATTGTTTGGGCAGTAACTTCTCCTGTCCCTTGTGTTTGTCGCGGTGGATGTGGTTGATTAGGACTGTTGCAGTTTTTCTCTGTTCTCATATCCTGTATTGTTAGTTTGTGGTGAGGCCTTCTTACGGAGGCGGTTTGTATGCACATGGGTTGTTAGATGTACCCTCAAGTAATACATTCAATTTTTTGTTTTGCGTCTTTACTGTTAAGGGTCTCTTTATGTTAGTTTTGACGTATTCTAAGATTGATTTTTAAAAAATATTTTTAAGAACATATTTTTTATACTTTTATTATATTTTAAAAAAATTAATCCTTTTAAATATTAATTTCAAAACTTAAATTTATACTTAATTTTTAAGAAAACTTTATTTATCGATAAATCTTACATTGGGCTTATCTACTCAATTAATATTTTATTAATGTTATGTGTTTAGTAAACCTCTTTTAAAAAGGTCTAATAAGAAGTATTATTATTATTATTATTATTATTTTTTTTAATATTAAAAGTGAGATTCAAATTTCATATTGACAAGTTATAAATATGAAAAATTCTTTAATAATGAAAGGTGATTACTAACCAACAAGAATATTCTTTGATGGTATTGTCTTATATGTAAAGAAGAATCTTTCATTTTTAATATGGGCAGGTAGAGTACCTTAACTCATCATCCAGTAAATATCAAAATGAAAATGTAAGAAAATAAAAAGAAAAGAAAATATCCAGTTATTTCCATTAAAAAGATGCTCAGATTTAAAGTGGAAGATATTATGCTCAAATTTTAATATGGGTTACAAAAGATCTCTGGGGAAGGTTGATGCAAGAGACTGGTAAAGAAGATGAGATAGTTATCCCCTAGGCCCACCCTATCATTACATGTCATGATAGTGACTTTTTTTTATCTCATTTAATATTGGCTCATGATATTATGATGTTAAACATTAGGTTAAACCTCTTTTTTGGTCCTTTAATTATTGTACAGACTTTTGATTGAGTCCCTCAACTCAAAAAATCTTTTATTTGATCCTTATTGTTTATTATTTTTATCCCAATTTGATTCTTCTGTTAAAAATCTCTCCACGTGTATTGTTAATTCATAGTAAAATGATAACATGTCAAAATTTTAACCCATGTGGAAGACAACATGGCAATAGAAATTTAAAAAATTCTTTTTCCTTCCTCGTTCCCTTCCTTGTTCCCTTTCTCCTTCCTCTTCATTTCTTGAACCCAGAGCTTGGGATCGTTGAACCCAGGTGATGGGTTCCTTCGAACCCAATTGGGCGTTCCTCATTCCCTTTCTCTTCCTCTTCCTTTCCTTCTTCATCAATCAATTCTTCATCATCATCATTAAAAAACACCCACAAAAACACAAAAATTTTTTGTTTATTTTTTTGTTGAAGAACCCAGCACCTGGGTTCGAAAGAACCCAGTGCTAGGTTCCAAGGAACCCAAAGCCTGTTATTGTCGAACCCAGGTGATCTAGGTTTGATCGAACCCAAGCCTGAGTTTGTCGAACCTAATGCCAGGTTCCTTGGAACCCAGAGCTTGGTTTGAAGGAACCCAGAGCCTAGGTTTGTTGAACCCAAGTGATGGGTTCCTTCGAACCCAGTTGGATTCCAAGGAACCCAAGCCTGGGTTCTGGTTGAACCTAAGTGATGGGTTCCTTCGAACCTAGCTAGATTCTAGGGAACCCAAGCCTGGGTTCGTCGAACCCAGCGCTTGAGTTCCTTCAAACCCAGCTAGATTCCAAGGAACCCAAGCCTAGGTTCGTCAAAGCCAAAAAACCCAGGATCCCAAGGATAAAGAGAAAGGAAAAGAGAAGGAAAAAGGAAAAAGAAAGAATTTTTTTCAGTTTTTTTATCATATTATTATTTTTATTGCCATGTCACTAGTTTTTCCCATATTGTCTTCCACGTGGGTTAAAATTTTGATATGTCATCATTTTACTGTGAATTAACAGTACAAGTGGAGAGATTTTTAACCGAAGGATCAAATTGGGGTAAAAATGATAAATAGTACGGACCAAGTCAGGGATTTTTTGAGTTTAGAGACTCAATTGAGGGTCTGTACAATAGTTGAGGGACCAAAAATGAAACTTAACCTAAACATTATTTATATAAATGACCTTTCTTTCGTCCAATATAACTTATATTGGGTTAATTCATCTTCTTTCATTCTTATATATTAAAAAATATTTTATATATCAAATTGTATGTTAAAAGTATAATTTAATTTATAAATTTATTAAAATATTTTTAATAAAATTATTTTTTATATTATTTTATTAAAATATTATTTTAATAAATTATATTTTATAAATTCATAGTATAGATTGCAATTTAATATATAATCTAAATTATAAAACATGAATTCTTTTACACATTACATGGATATTTGATCGCGAAAGATATTGTGTGACTTTTTTTATTAAATTTTTTAATTGCAAAAATGACATATATATATATATATAAATATTCCTCTTCTATTCTTTGTAATTTCTCGGCCAAAAAAAAAAATCCTCTTCGATTGGGGAGTCAATTGGGTTGGCTCGGGAACATGTGCATGAGAGAGTATGAGCATTAAACCTAAAAGACATATTTATTAGGTTTATGGGTCTCTACATATATATTACACTCTAACACTTTGTTGTTTTTTTTGAATCTCCAAAGATATCTTAATTTTCAACTTATCACATTATTAGCTCTAATACTACTTGTTGAGGAGTCAATTAGGCCAATTTGGGAGTGCACACATGAAAAGGCATAAACACATATGATGAGATATTATATTGAACCTAAAAAGCATGCATATTAAGTTTATCAGGCCTCCATGTGTATATTGCGCTCTAACACCTTATTTCTCTTTAATGTGAAACTTTATGTATATCTCTTAACTTCAATCAAATGTGAACTTTATATTCCAATAAAATCTGACATAAAGAAACATGTAGTTTAAATCCAAAAAGGGTTGCTTCACATATTGTCTAGTTTTAAGTTGAATACAAGTCTTGTGTTGGAGTTCATATGCATAATTTTCACATAATATCAAAGCAAATGCTTCATTATTAGGAAACCTGTTGTTAGCCCACCAATGTTCATATTGGGCTTATATGTGAAGGATAGTGTTGAGTGAGAAAATCACACATCGAGAATATAACAAAGAAACATGTGCCTTACATATAAAGTGGGTTACTCCATCTATTACCAATTAGGTTTAGAGGTATAAAACCATATGACAAGATCCAACATTCATATTGGCTTACATGTATAGGGTTGTGTTGAGTGAGAAAATCTCACATCGAGAATATGAAACATGTGCCTTAAATATAAAAATGGCTATTCCATCTATTACTAATTAGTTTTAAGTTAAATGCAAGCCTCATGTTAGAATTCACATGCACAATTTTGCATCTTCTAGGCCCACATAGCATGGTTGAGTGTATAAGTTGGTCCTAAATTTGCCAAATAAGAAAAAAATTTTTTTTTTGAATTTTCATATCATTTTCAGAAAAGAAAAAAAAAGTTTACCACATTAGCATTTAACTTAATTTTCTTCTTCATTATGCATTGGTGCTAAAAACTATTGATCACTTATGCATTGTTTAACTTGTATTTTGCTTTGAAAGGGTTAGAGTAACCTTGTATTCCTATAATTTAATTTTGATTCTTCAATAAAAAGATTGACTAAAGGGCAAAAAGAGTCAAAAAAAATTTATGTTTGAAGACCATTCAAGTATTTTCAAAAGTTCAAGGGAAAAACCAGCTCAAATAAAAAGGTCCAAGGACCATTTTATGTATTTTTGCCTTTTTTTAGCATGCTGGTCATTTTTCATATGTGAAAGTTTTGCCCCACCATATTGTTTTATCTTTTTAATATGAGGAGGGATGTATTTATATATAAGTTTTATACATTATATTTATATAAAATTTTAATTATTTATCTTTCTGATTTTAATAATTGAGATTTATTACAACTTTTTAAATGAGAAAGATAATTAATATTATAAAAAAATAAATCTCAATTATTAAAAGTAAATAAATGAATGATTGAGATTTTATATAAGTATTGTGTTTAAGATTTATATGTAAATGTATTTTTACTCTTTTAATTTAGTATAAATAAGATAATTTATGATTGATTGCTTGATTGACATTAAATAAATTACCATTATTTTTTTTATCTATTAAATGTAAAATACTAACATTAAGTCTCCATTTAGGGCCTGTTTGGTGGAGCTTTTTAGAGTTTTTACTTTTTTAGTACTGTTTATGAGTCATAAATTTAAATTTTTATTTGAGAGAAAATGTCACGCCCCAGAACCCAAATCCGGGGACGTGGCAGATGCCGTGCACTCGTGAGACGAGTCCCACAAGTGCACAAGACTCGAAACATATTCAGATCACAAAATCACAAGAATAAAATCTACTTTACAAAAGGATGATAAAATCTAAAATTTATATCCAATTATAATGGCTAGTCTTCTACCTCGTCACTCCTCGTGGTTTTCCCGTCTTCAGTTTCACTTCCTGAAATGGTGGATAAGGAAAAACTATAAGATAACTCAGTAAATAAATATGGATAGCCCTTGGGTAAAATTTTAAGCATGCCAGATAAACCATGTAAGCTTAACAAAACTTTCAATTATAAACCGTTAATGCAGAATCAAATTCAGTTCAATAGCAAAGCGTTCAATGACAAACCGTAATGCAGAAGAAAATTCAGTATTAGTCTCATTTATAAGTCATGGTCAGTGTTTAACAAACTCCCATTGGCAGGCGTCAGTAATGGTACCAGTGTTTAACAAACTCCCTCTGGCAAGCGTCAGTAATTACCAATGTATTATCCCATTGGCAGGATTACAAAATGGACCAATCATATTTGTAAACATGTCGGCATGTGCCAGCGTTTACAAACTCCCACTAGCGGGCGTCAGTAATCATGACTATATCAGAGACAAAACCATGCAAGATTTACAGAAAAATCCGTAATTCACAATCAATCTCAAATTTCAGAATAAACTGGAAAATTTCCATGTGAGCATGGATTTAACAGAAAACTCAAAACTTACAAAATTCTCGGTTCATCAAAGCAATTTAGTCAATTCCAAATAGGCATGCTCTATTCAATGCAAATGAAAACAATTTCATATGGGCATGCTCAATTCCAGAAAAACAATGAAATTCTCATTTTCATTCCAATCATGCTCAATTCCAGAAAATAAGAATTTTCATAAAAATCATCACAATTTTCATTTCAGTTTAATCACACACAAATACTGATAAAATTAATTTAAACCTTGCCACAATCTCGAAAACAGTTTAAAACATACTTTAAAATTGAAGGGCTTTACCATAAATTTACTTACCTCACTTGCTCAGAAGAGAAAGCTTAACCCAAGTGCTACAGTGACAAAACGATTAAAACCTAATCACAATATTTCAAAGTTAATACCACACTATCACAAATTCCCCCTAATTGCGGTGCTATTTCTATTAATCTCTATTAATCTCCACATGGCCGAACCTCTCCAAATTTATTATTATATTACAAACTAAACATTTAAATCCCCGTTAATTGTTGCCATCAGTGCGTGAACAGTATTCATAAACAGTACCCGTAAACAGTAACTTCAACTTCCAAAATGGGCAAAACAGTGGCTAAAACACACGGGATTTTCTCTAGACAAATTCACAACAATTACTCAAGCTAATTTCCACTTAATTTAAACAAAACCCACTTAAAGCTACCGAAATTCCCCCATTTTCCAGCAAAATTCGGACAACATAGGCAGCAATCAATTGATGAAATTCAAGCTTGGAGGAGCTGTCAACATACTAGAATTTCCCCAGCAAAAACCGGACTGCAGTTTGGGGGAAGGGCCGGCGGCATCTGCAGGGAAACTCATGGAAATCTACCCAAAAATTGGAGGAAATAAAAGCAATTAAAGTAAACCCAGCCTAAATCAAGGTTAAAGAGATGATTTCTTGGCTGAATCTTACCAAAAAACCAGAGCACTTCGCACCCCCATACAGCAGAGCAGCAGCCGGAAGTAGCAGAGCAGAGCAGATCCGGAATTTTGCAGATGGGGGGAAGGATTTCTGGGTTCTATGCTTGTTATTTAACAAGAGAAGAAGAAGAAATTTCAAGTTTTTGCCGAGTTTCTCCAGGGGAACTATCGGCAGCTTGGGGGGGGCTTGTCGGGGAAGAAGAAGAGAAGCAGAAACACGCGGCTGATGAGGAAGAAAAGAAAGAAAGAAAAAGAGAAAAAGAAAAGAAGCTGATCCTTATCTCATTCCCTTTCTTTTAAGTCCCTCAACTTTTGAAATTTGACTATTAAGTCCCAAAACAATAGTTTTCCTCAAATAAGTCCCTTACTTAATGCTAAAATATTACCAAAATTTGGGATATTATAGAAAATTTAAAAGTTGCTTTTAGAAATAATAAAAAGTGAGTAAGAAGTAACTAAAAAAGAATTTAAAAGTTATTTTTAGAAATAATAAAATGTTAGTAAAAAGTAACTAAAAAAGAAGTTTATAAAAAGAAAAAATTTTAAAATTTTAAAAATTGACTATTTAATATCTTTTTAAAGTTAAAAAAATTAAAAAATGTAAGTTTTTAAAGAGAAAATTTAAATTTATGAAATATAAATAATGTTAAAAAACTGAAGCACTTATAACCTTCACTAAACAAGCACTTATAACCTTCACTAAACAAGCCCTTAGTATAATTATGATTTTAAGTTTTTTGTTTTGATTTTTATAAATTTTATAACTTTAAACAAGAAACTCATTTAGTTTAATGTGTTTATGCAACATGTTATCATAATTATTAGAGAAATAAGAATAAAAATAATTTTAATTTAATTAAATAAGTTTATAGCCAATAGAAAAAATTAAATAAATTTTTAATTTTGATTTTTAGGTAGTTACATAATTTATAAAAATCAAAAATTATAAAAAAAAAAAACCTATAACCATACTAAACAACACCTAAAAATATAAAGAATACTCTAACTCATACAAATTAAAAGTTTATAAACTCACAAATAAAAATTATATACAAATAAAACCTTCGTAAATTACCAACCGCCCTAATCATACTAAGCTTCCAAATGCATCAGACGTTAGGCCTTTTTCCTTTGCTTGTCTATATATATTATTCAGTGGCTCGAGCACAATCCCAAAGATACAAATGCCATTCATGAAATGAAAATAGTTGGCCCAAACTTTTAAAGAAATTTTTTGATTAAAATTGACTCTAGTCTCTCCTCAGCCGACCAAACTCCTCTAAAAATAACCGTATTTTATAATTTATGCATCCCACTCAAGTAAAAAATGTCAATAAAAATATATATTACACCGTGTTATAAAATTTTATTGTCGATAAGTGTTATATATGGACAAATTATTTTTAATATCAAAGGTTATTGGTGTACATTCTGATCTGTCACCATTGTTTAAAAAATTAATATCTTATAATTCAAAATGAAGCACGCAAAAGCTTAAATCCCTCGCTATTTATATTTAGGCAAAATACCGAAATCCACTCTCAAAGTATAGTGATAAGGACGGACTCACCTCTAAACAGAAAACGGGGACAAATTCACCCACAAAGTTTTTAACTTGAATAAATCACTCTAAATTTAACATATGACATTATTTGATGTCAGCAATCTGTTAACGAATTAACAAATTGTTGATATTAGATGACGTTACACGTTAAATTTGAGGTGATTTGTTCAAATCAAAAATTTTGTGGGTGGATTTGTCTCTGTTTTCTGTTTGAGGGTGGATCCGTCCCCACCACTATACTTTGAGGGTGAATTTGGGTATTCTGCTTTATATTTATTTCTATTTCCAAGCAAACTTATTGCACTTTCATCTTCCACACTAAAATCATCCCCCATTCAAACCCCAAATCCAAAGAGATTGACGCTTAAGAACGACCATGGCAAAGAACAAATTGAATTCAAGCGAAAAAAAAAAAAAGAATAATTGAAAAAGATATTGGTTTGTGAAATTTATAAGGTGACTTCTACCATTGCAAGTAATCTGAATCTCAACTAATAAATTTAAGATGTAATCTTATCTTATCCATTAACACGTGGGTTTACTTAAAAAATGTAATTTATGCTGTAAACAAAAAGAATCTTGTGAACTCAAAAATCTAAGTTTGCAAGAACTTAGGGATATGGGTTTGTTGTGGAACCCTAACATTTAGCTTTATCTTGAAAGCCAAAAACTAAACCCAAATAGATCTAGGATTTTGAGGGAAAAGAATCCAAAGTCGGTAGTTGAGAAGGCAAACATGGTTGGTTTGATTTAATTTGGTGGAGTTGGCAGCGGAGGAGGAATGGGAAATAAGGAGGTAGGACCAATGGCAGCAAAGAAGGGACATGGAGGGGCGAGAGCAACACGAGCTAGAGAGAAAGAATTGATTAACTCAACTAACGAAAAATTCCAGCATGGGTAATTCACAAATTGGGTTGTCAAGCAACACAAATGTTTCTCCAGTGGCGATTGGATGAAATTAGCGATGCCAAAAGGAAGGAAGACCGCGGTGTACGCCAATCATTGTTTTGTGCAGAACAAGCTCTGGATAAGTACATGCTGGCTTGTTAATATATTTTACACGGGTAACATAGTTAATGTGTTGATTCAGAGAGAATAAACCTCTCATTTCTCTTCTAATAGTTCACTCATTCACACTAAAACAAGAAAATTTATACATAATTAAGATAAAAGGTACATATGATAAAAATCATGTTGCTGAAATAAAAATACCGATATAGAAACGAGTGATGAGAAAGAGAGGCAAAGCGAGAGTGAGAGAAGGTGACCGTCGGACACGGGCTAGAAAGACGGCACAGAGTGAAGAGAAAGTCAGATCACAGCAGAGATACCAGCAGAGAAGGAGGGTACCATACCAGCTAAGGAAGAAGCAGTACGAGCAGAACCAGGTGGTTGAAAGGAAGCAAGGAGATTCCTATGACTGGGGCTTGTTCAAACAAGCGACCCCCTACATTTTCACAAACTTCCTAGAAGAATGAACGTACGAAGAAATGTGGAGAACGTTTCTGAAATTCGGGAGGGTATATGCCATTTACAGTCCAAGGAGAAGAAGCAGAAATGGCGACAGGTTTGGTTTTGTCAGATTTCTTGATGTGAAGAATAGAGAAGAGCTTGAAAGAAAGCTAGATAATATCTGGATCGGTGATCGCAAACTTTGGGTAAACTCTCCAAGATATGAAGACAACCAGAAAGAAGGGAGGGAAACAAAACCCAGACCCATCTCGGAGCCACAAGTACGAAACAGGAGCTACGCAGAGGTTCTGAAAGGGCAACAATCGAACAGGAGGGTATGGCAAGAGAAAGGAAGGATTGATTCTTGGGCTGGGATTGAATACAATACTAACCAAGAAGACACCGCATGGCTGGAGGGCTGTTTTGTGGGCACAACTCATTCGGTTGAAATGGTTAGAAACCTGTAGGAAAAATTCTACATGGAAGGGTATTTCTCCTGTCAAATTCGAGCGATGGGGGGAAGATTGGTTCTAATGGACTGCGAGGATAAGGAAGAGCTGAAAGACCTGGTTGAATCAGCATCAGAATGGCTGGGCCAATGGTTCGAGAAGGTGTGCCCATGGACCCCAGATCTGGTAGCAGAAGAAAGATTCGTTTGGATCAGATGTCAAGGTGTGCCGTTAAACGTCTGGGGGCCAACATTCTTTGCTTCGATGGGGTGCTCATGGGGCAAGTTCATTTGTCTAGATGACAGCACAAGTCATAGGAGGAGGTTTGACATAGCCAGATTTTTAATCTCGACCCCAATTATGAACACCATTTCAGTGACGAGACAAATCAAAATTGACGGGTCCGTGTATAAGCTCAAGTTCACAGAGGAGGAATTTACCAATAGTTTCTTCTCTTTGAAACAGGACTTCATCCCTCATTTCAATAGCGATTCAGAAGATCAAGAAACATGGTCTATGGACAGTGAGAAGGAGGATTGTGCCAGTATAGGGGCAGGGGAGGAAGAACAGGGGAAGGACGCCTCAGCCGAGAATGAGGAAGATGAAGATGACGTGGCATGCAACAAAGAGGAGTCGTACGAAGTGTTCCCTAGAAACGGTCTGCAGGAGGAGGAGGAGACAGTTGAGCAAGTGGCGGACAGCCTGGAGCAGATTCAAATTTCGAACAAAGAAAAAATCAACTTAAGTGAAGAGAAAAGGAAGCAGCAAGCGGGAAATGGTGTCAAGGTAGGGCAGTCGGCTAAAGCTGGAAAAAAGAGGCTGGGCTTACAAAAGGGCTCTACGTTGGGCCTTAATGGGAAACCCATCTCTCAAAAAGCTAGCCCATGCTATGTGGACTCCTTAAGTGTGGAGCCGGGTATTAATGAAGGGAGTTTAAAGTCAAAATCAGAGAAAGTAAAGGAACATTCGGGAGGAAGGAAAGCTGCACCATGTTGCAGCGAAGAAGATCAGCAGCATGATGAACAAGGAGATCCCAACGGGCAGGACTGCACAAGTGCAAACAAACAGATGCAAATCTGCAAGCAAAGAAGCAAGGAGGGTGTCTCAAAAAGGAAGAAGAAGATCCACTTGTGCAGCTCGGTCTACCTCAAGGCGAGAAAAACAGGGGAAGGAATCCAGAGGGGGAAAAGGTGCGAAAGGCAAAAGACGAAACCAGTGAAGGGAACGGGGGTGCCGGAATTCATTGTGTGTCCAGATGGAAAGGTCGCGGGTGAATCGGTTGGCGACAGCGGGATTCAAAATTGCAACCGAGCTCTGAGGAAGCAGTTGCAAAATCAGCTGGCAAAAGACATATGGGATTTAGCAAAAAGATTGGGCGTCACAGTAGAAAACGAAGAGGAGATTATGCAAAAATTTGTAGAAATGGAGGGTAGAGATAGACAAGGCAAAGAAGATATGGTGAAGAGAGTGTCAGAGGACGCTAAGAAGGTAAGTAGAGATTCTGATGATCATTCTATCTTTTAATATCAGAGGGTTAAGAGGGATGGGGAAAAAAAGGAAAATAAGAGAATTAGTAAAAAAAGAGGGAGTAGAATTCTTAGCTATTCAAGAGTAAAAAATGGAGGTGATTGATAGAAGAACTTGTAGAAGGATATGGGGGTCTGAAGATTTTGACTGGATTTATAAACCATCAGAAGGCTTGTCTAGAGGATTGCTGTGTATTTGGAATTTAAAGGTGTTTAACAAGACAGAGGTGATTGAGGGGCAACACTTCACGGGGGTGTTTGGGGTATGGGAGGAGGACCTGATGCCGATCCACATCCTTAATATCTATTCTCCATGCCATTTAGAAGGAAAAAGAGTGCTATGGGAGGAGCTGGGAAAGCTGATCACTAGTAGAAGAGGCAATTGGATTTTGGGGGGAGATTTCAATGCAGCAAGAACAGTAGGGGATAGAGCAGGATGCAGCGGGATAACCAGGGAAATGAGGGAGTTTGATAGCTTTATCCATGTCTCTGGGCTGGTTGATTTACCACTGGCGGGCAGAAAATATACTTGGCACAGTGCAAATGGACAGCATAGGAGCAGGATAGATAGGTTTTTGGTTTCGGATGAATGCCTGAAGAAGTGGAATGACTTAAAACAATGGGGATTGGGAAGATCAGTATCCGATCATTGCCCATTACTCTTGAAAAATGAAAAGGTAGATTGGGGCCCAAAACCCTTTAAATTTTTTGATGCTTGGTTGGAACACCCTGAGTGTAAGGAAGTAATTAGCAAAGTGTGGAAATCTGTAGAGGTGAGGGGGTGGAAGGGGTTCAGACTTAAGGAGAAGCTAAAAGAAACAAAAAAAGCCCTGAAGGAATGGAGTGCTAATCACATAGCAGAAGTTGATAGAAGAATAATTGAAGCAGAAAGGACCATAGCTAAAATGGATGAAAAAGAAGAGTACAGCCAACTCTCAGAAGAAGACATTGAGAAAAGAAGGAATGGATTCCTGGATCTCTGGAAGAACATGAAGATACAAGAGAGTATGTGGCAACAAAAATCCAGAAAGATGTGGCTGAAAAGGGGGACGCAAACACAAAGTTTTTTCATAGAAATGTGAAGGGCAGATGGAGAAGAAATGAAATCAACAGTATTCAGATTGGGGGAGAGCTATGTAGAGGTGTGAATGAGATCAAGGAAGGCGTGAAGAATTATTTCAAGGGGCTATTCTCGGAAAAAGAGTGGCAGCGACCAAAGCTAGACGGCATCAGCTTTAAACAGATAGACAAATCAGACAATGATCTTCTGACGGCCACTTTCTCAGAAGAGGAAATTAAAAACGCAGTGTGGGATTGCGACTCATCTAAATCTCCTGGGCCGGATGGCTTTAATTTCAGGTTCATAAAGGCAATGTGGGAGGACATAAATCAGGACGTCATTGGATTCGTACAGGAATTTCATGAGCATGGCAAGCTGGTTCGAGGCTCCAACTCCTCTTTCATCGCCTTGATCCCTAAGGTTGAAAACCCCCATAGAATTGAAGACTACAGACCTATATCACTCATTGGAGTTATGTACAAGATCCTAGCTAAGCTTCTAGCAAATCGCCTCAGGAAAGTTCTTGACAAGATCATCGGGGAGCAACAAATGGCATTCATAGAAGGTAGACAGTTGATGGACGGAGTGGTGATAGCAAACGAGGTGATCGATGAGGCAAAAAGGAAGAGGAAGAAGAGTTTTCTATTCAAAGTGGAATTCGAAAAAGCTTACGACAAGGTTAGTTGGGATTTTATTGACTATATGCTTATGAGGACGGGTTTTACAGTCACTTGGAGAAATTGGATAAAGGAATGCCTCCAATCGAGTATGATCTCGATCCTAGTGAACGGAAGCCCAACTCAGCAATTCCCGGTTAGCAAAGGAATCAGGCAAGGTGACCCGCTCTCCCCCTTCTTATTTCTGTTAGTAGCAGAAGGTCTAAATGGGTTAATGCAATTTGCCAATGAGAAAAATATATTCAAAGGGGTAAAGATTGGAAACGGGAACTTGTCAGTATCACACCTCCAATTTGCTGATGACACACTGTTTTTTGGAGAGGCTTCGGAAGAAAACATTCAAGCAATAAAAAGTATCATGAGGACCTTCGAATTGGTGTTGGGTCTGAAAATCAATTTTGGCAAGAGTCAGATAATGGGGGTCGGGACAGAGGATGGTTGGAAGGAGAGGATGGCTTACAGACTGTGTTGCAAGGCGGGTGATCTCCCTTTTAAATATTTGGGAACTCCAGTCGGAGGGAATCACAGGAGGATAGCAATGTGGCAACCATTGGTGAACACCTTTAAAAAGAAACTTGCTAGCTGGAAAGGGCAAAACTTATCTCTGGGAGGCCGAATCACTCTCTTAAATTCTGTGCTGTCTAGCTTACCCGTGTACCTGATGTCTGCTACAAAATACCCAAAGGTATTCTCTTCTCTTTAGATAAAATACGCAGGAACTTTTTATGGGGAGGGATGGGGGAGGGGAAAAAATCAGTTGGGTCAATTGGGAGAGGGTGTGCAGGAAAAAGGAGTGTGGAGGTCTAGGAGTGAAGGATTTGAGGAAATTCAATATGGCATTGTTGGGTAAATGGTGGGGGAGGTTAGCAAAAAGGGAAGAGGGACTATGGAGCAAAGTGATATCAAGTAAGTATGGAGAGAATGGCGGGCATTGGTTGGACTGGGTAAGGGATAGGAGTGGTGGAGGATCAACATGGTGGAGAGACATCCAAAACTTAAATGCTGGAGATGGGGGGAATGCAGGATGGCTAGTGGAGGGTTTTAGGATTACGGTCGGTGAGGGGAAAAGAGTGAGCTTCTGGTGGGATGAGTGGTGTGGGGAGATCTGCTTGGCTAATAAATTCCCTAGATTGTACACCTTATCTACAGGTAAAGACAAAGAATGCTTTCAAATGGGAAGGGCTCTCAATGGCACATGGAGCTGGAACTTGACATGGAGAAGAACCTTGCATTAGTGGGAAGACGAGACAGCAACTGAACTTCAAAAAATGATCGAGAAAGTGATAATATCCCCAGGGAGCGCTGACAAATGGGAGTGGACACACAGCACCGACGGAGAGTATTCAACGGCATCAGCCTACGCAATATTAACAAAACATAGGAGGGAAGAGGAGGAAGCAGAAATGTATAAAAGAGTATGGAATCCTAGCATCCCAACCAAAGTGGTGGCTTTCAATTGGAAGGTATTACTTGATAGAATACCAACCAAGTTAAACTTGTCAAAACGGGAGGTCATAAAGGAGGGGGAAGAAAGGAAATGTATTCTATGTGAAGAGGAAGAGGAAGATTCCAGCCACCTATTCCTGAAATGTAAAATAGCCAAATGGCTGTGGAAAGCTTGCGCAAACTGGTGGGGCATCAAAGTAGAACTACAAAACGAATGCAGGAGGACGTTTCAGCTCTTTGGCGCCTGGACCAAAAAGCCACACAAAAGAGAAAGGTGGGATTGTATTTGGAACGCAGTCATATGGTCAGTGTGGATGGCAAGAAACAAAAAGATCTTTGACAGTGTCGAGGTAAACCTGATCAAACTTTTTGAACTTATTCAATTAAGGTCATTTACATGGATTAAAGTTAGGAAAGGCAAGTGTTATTTCAATCTATCTGACTGACTAATTAACCTTGCCTCATGCCTTACTAGAGTGAAGTAGGAGGGGTTAGAGAGATGGTAGTAACACTAATTGTGCTTATTCCTGTTCAATGATGGTTTTAGTTGATGTTAATGTAAAAGGGTTTGAGTACCCCTTGTACTCAAGATAGTAATGGAACTTTTGCTGTTCAAAAAAATAAAAGGTACATATGATATGCATGTAAATAAGATGTGTATATGCATGTAAATAAATTATAGATTAACAATACTCTAAGAATTACTTTGATTCATGAAAGTATATTTTCCCGTAACCCTACCCTAAGAATTATAACTAGATAAATAATAATAAAAAAAAGACGCAATCCTAAGGATAAGGTTTCCTACTTTTGATCATGTGCATCCATCAAGTGGTTCAATCTTCCTTTCTCTTTATTGTGATCATTAATTTAAATCCGTATTTGTTGGAATAGGTTTTAACAATATTTTATTCACCTTTATTTACTTTTATTTGCTTTCAAAAAAATAGAATAAAGGGGATCGGAGAAAAGGAGAAGAAAATGGAAGGATAATGATATTAATGATATCATTTCATTTCTCTCTTCTCCCCTCCCCTTAGTTTAGTTAGATTAAAATATAAAATAATTAAAACAAAATAAAGAAAAAACCTTTACTTTAAAACAAAAAATTTTATTATTCAAATACAAAAATTTATTTTTTTTCTTATTTTCCTTTTCTCCCCGCAAACCAAACAACTTAATATTGTCTTGTTTGATGAAGGGTAGACCGTAGAGGTGGCAACAAAAATTGTACAGCATGACCTGATTGGTCTTTCCATATGTTCAAGAACTTTACTGCAGTAAGTAATTGCCACAAAAATTATTTTAGGTAATATTAATTTGTCACCTATTTCCATTAAATTTAGAGAAACATTTATTAATTTATCATCCCATAACAATAATGTCTCTTAATTAGGTTGCCGACAACTTATGTTCAATTAACAATAATTTTTTTAATGAAAATAAAATATTTTAAACTCAAATTACATGAAAATTTTGTCTAATTTATATCTTAAAAGTATAAATTAAGACTTATTAATTAAGGTAGTTTTAATTAATTTTATATAAGTTTTTATATTAGATTTATAATTTTTTTACAAATTTTGAGTGTAAATATTATATTATATTTATTT